CCTTGCAAAGTTTAAATGTATGCTTCAAGTCGAACCGATCTCTTAAGACAGATCTGAGCCATCAATTGTTGTACGTAACTACATAGGATCCCCAGAATAGAGGAAAACTAGTCAATCAAAACCCATTCCACACTCTTTCTTAAGCAAACAACCATTAAACTCAGCCTATACACATATAATATATCCTCCAAAGTTTATGGACCTACTCTTAGGCATATTTTTATTAGTCCAGAGGTCTAGGCCCATAGCCTGCAGTCCAATCCAAACATGGACCACAAATTGCAAGGTCCAGGTCCAGCTGGATTTCCAGGCTCACGAATCAGTCACCAGTGTACATGTGCCCATTTTCCTGCAAATATTTGCTGCCCCTTCTTCTCCCTTTTTTTCCTTCAGGTAGAGCATATTCACGAAAATCGCCATTGAAATTTAGGCATGAATAGAGTCAGAGTAGCAGCACTAATCAATTCTGGGGCCAGCTCTTTTCAGCAGAAAGTCTCCTACATCCATTCAACTCCAATTTTGGAACGAAAAAGACGAACTCATTGGGATTCTGTTAGTGTTTCTCTCCTCTCTTTTACACTCATAGGAAAAAAAGGAAAAAGGCGGATATTTTCATTTTTTGCAAACATTATTTTGCTATTTATGCTATTACCGAGCAGTTTTTTTTTTTGAGTTTTGAAATGGCTTTAGACGGTCTGAAATGGGATTATTTTGGTAAATATTTGTGCTCTTTAGTGAATTATATTATATATCTACCAGCTTATGTTTAAAATATATTTTGGTTTTTCTTTTTCTTTTTTTCCCCAGAAGAATCTAGTGATGTCATATGTGGCCTGGGGTAGTTTTGGCGCCACCCGCTAGGGGGTTCGGGAGGGGAATTCAAGTCGAGTCTTGGTGATGCTATGACCAAATTGATCGATCATCCTTTATTCTTCATTGAATTTTCATGTAGAAAAATGTTGTCTTGGATGTAATGGTTTCTAATTTTTACACCATTTATGTGCAGGGAGGAGGTTATTCCAGGGGCTCATCAAGGAGTCATAGAGAGCCTGTACGGTTTGAGCAAGTTTATGCACGATAAAAAGTGTAGCTTTTTGCTGTGGAATTGTAATTTTTATTGTGAAATACTTGTGTGCATCTGTTTCAGGATATTGATCAGGGATTGGAGATAATTTTTATTTTCAGTTTGATTCTTTGGATGTGTCCTTGAAATGAAAGATTAACTACATTGATTTTAGAGACTTATATGGTTTCGGATGATGTCTGGAACCATATTCATTACTCTTATACCCATGAAAGAAAAAAGTGAACCATTTGATGCTTAAGTGTAGCGAGTTGAGTGTGTCCAGAGGAAAATGATGGAAAGACAGACAGATTGAAGCTGATTCTTACATGCATTCCCTACCCTTCTAAAAAATAGTCTAAACCCTCTTTTAGATCCATAGATATTTGTTTCTTTGTTTGGATGATGTGCGGTGAGTAGGCTAGGCTGCTTTACCATCTATTTCTAGTCTGCAATTATGTCAAGCTTCCTCATAAGCTGTAGTATTCCTAGTCATGCTATTACCTCGAATTAATAAAGCATTGATGGAGATGGGTGCAGATATTTGGCACACTTATTGCATTGATGCCTGTGACAGAGATTACAAGGTGCTAATTTTTACCTGTTAGTCATGTGCCTTTTGGCTAAAGATCTTGTGTTGCCATGTGGGGCTGCTAATATCCTAGTGTATTGTCTTGTCATCAGTTTCTTTTGCTTCATCCTTGATTTTCTTCAATGATTTTTCATTTCTCCATAGGATCAAAATCATATGGATCTAATGTGATCGAAGCCTTACATTTAGCATTGTGTTGCACTTACATCGTTCTGAATAAATGTGTATCTGATGGTAAATTTTTTTGTAGAGATTTAGCAGCTACTCCAGAAGGAATAGGAAGCTACATTCGAAGCAGGATTTGTTGCATAACGTCAGCTCATTTGCTGAGCACCTTTTTCAGGTTTTTAATGACTAATGAAGGCGTTCTTGGTCTCTTCTGCTCTCCGGAGTCAAGACTATAGTTTCCTAATTTCCTTCTGCTATTCTATCTGTAGAGTAGACCTTTTTTTTTTGGTTTTTTATTCATTATTTTTTGAGGGGTGAAATAGGGAGTTGAGAATGGGGTCAAGGCATGTATGCTATCTGAAGCTTGGGATAGTATGAAATTGCAGCCTCTTTTATGTGTGTCTGTCTGGGAGGGACTTTCTGCACATGCATGCTCATGAGCATGCAGCATGAGCATTTAGGTACATCTTATAACTTAAAAGATAGACAGATGCATGTCCATGTGCCAAAGATGAAATTACATGTCAATGTAAGAGTGGTGTTCTGAATGGTAGTAGTATCAAGGGGACATATTCTTGGTCGTCATGTTGATCCGTCTTTTGAGTTAGCTTTCCTAGTTTACCATTGTTTTCTAGTTTTGGGTGATTCTGGAAGCAGATATGCTCTTTCTATCTTTCCCTTTTTAAAAAAAGTTTATGTGCCTAATCCATTTTACAAGTTCAAAGATTCTTAGTTTGGAAGTTTTGAGTAAAAGATTCCTGTGTTGGCAAAATGGTTGTTGATTCTGGTTTATGTTTTGTACTATTTGGATCATGTATACTGGTGCAGATTACAAATGAATTGCAAATTTGTTGAAGGATTACTAAGAAATTAATATTAAAGGAGCTTGTTGGCTTGTAATTAGAGAAAATATCATGAATTTGAATGCACCATGACATGCTACAGCTGTCCATGCACTATTGTATGCTCAAAGGTTTATGCTAACAGACAATTTTGTTAGTAGTCCTAAAGTATATATGATTACTTAATTTTTACATTTAATTTTCTCAATCCTTCTCTGTGATTCTTTTCCTTTACTAGTACTCTTGAAGACATGCCTCTTATTTTTGGGTCTTTTCCCTAGTTTTTTAACTTTTAATTTTTGGGTATCATTACCTTGACTTTTAACTTTGTTAAATTGTCAGCAATTATATATTTTTGTTCTCTAACAATGACTGCTATGTATCAGAGCTGGAAATTTGATGATTTTGACGACAACCACAATCCATTTGCAAGCAGAAGCAGCTCATGGTTTAGACAGGATTTTAATGGTAATAGATCTAAGAAAGGAAACTCCAGAAACAAGGGACAACAGGCATGGAACACAAGTAAGTTGCCCTTTTTGTCACATAACTGCAGTTGGACTTCAAAAGCGAAATGCGTCTGTCTGACATGCTTCTCATGATGATATCCACGTGGGGGCAGGATTCCAATTTTTTGTAGATGATGATGATTTTGATGTTGAGACCATCTTTAAATCCGCACTTGGGGGAAACAAATACACCTACTATTCCTTTATAGATGAAGAACCACAGTGGAGGGGGTCATTTGGACGCTCCAATAACCATAGGCATTACTGGAATTGGGGGCATCAGGATGAGGAGGAAGACAGCTCCTCATCTGAATCTGATAGTTTGGAGTCTGATCTGACATCTGATAGACTTGCTCTTGGGCTGAGTTCATCTGGTCCTTTAAGTCTTACAGATGTTAAAAATGCGTAAGTTCAATTTGATTCCTTCATTCGCTGTCTGCTTGAATACCAACCCCTTGCAACTTTCTGTTCAGATCTTATTTGAATGGGTAGAAATATGTTGTCTTTCTGACTTAAACTGCTGTCTTGCTTTCAGTTATAGAGTGTGCGCTTTGAAATGGCATCCAGATCGCCACCATGGCCCTCACAAGGTATCTCTGTTTTTTCCCTCATAATATTCGCATTCTTCTTCATTTTTTTTTGTCTCCCATTGCAATTATTTTTGTTAGGGATATGGCAATAATTGTCTATCTTTGACTCTTAATGAAGCTGCTACTTTTATCTATCATTTTTTTCTTTTATTCTAATAGCTATGGATGTTTGATAGCCAAGGTCTCTGCTCGGGTTTATGAGATGTTGGGCCTTTCAATGGAATGGATGCTTACATCCCTCTTTCACACACTACAAATTTGTTAATATGGTAACTAATTTAGTTGATTGATGAACCTGATACCAAGGAACAACGCATCCTTGTTCGCCTTAGTTTCATTGATGATATGTCCATGCATCTTGACACCGACTCTAGTTGTTTGGCTTGTCCAACTCCTCCCCCCCTCCCCCCCCCCCCTTTCTCCACCTAGATTCTTCATACTCAGGTTATGATCATGAGAATTATCTGCAGACATGTTGGTTTGATTTCTTGTCGATCTAATCAAGTGGTTTGATGTCGTGGACAGGCTGCGGCAGAAGAGAAGTTCAAGCTTTGCAGTGCAGCATATCAGTCATTATGTGATAAACTCGGTATAAATTAGGGTTGCTGTTGCTGATGGCATCTATCAAGTCTTGTAGGAGATCAGATTGGATCTTGATCATAAGATTCATAACTATGTACTTAGGTTAAGTTAGGAATTAGGTTAGGAATTATGCACAACATAGAAAAATGAGAGGCATGGTGTCCAATGAGCAATTATTTCCACAGTATGCTATTCCTTGCATCCTTTTGTACCATTCACTTTGTACCCGTGTATACTTCTGTTTAATACTACCAGCTTTACGATTCATTAATGCCCTCATGCTTTTGAACGCAGCAAGTAAATTTTGCATGCAGCATTGTTTGAACATGGAACATATAATTTTTTTGCTAGTTTGCAATTTCAATTCTTACATAACTAGTATTTCTCTAGTACTAATTTCTGTATCCAGCCTGGTGTTAAGTAGAACAGGGTGTGTTAAACTAATATCAGGATCTATCTTATTATTACTACTCATTTGCATGTGACTAATAGCATACTGGCCAAAGTCTTATATTATTATGTTTCTTAATAGGCAACATGATCATATCTTGAAACAAACCAATAATACAGAGACAGAGAACAGAGAGAAATTAATAAAAGCCAGCTACCTGGGAAAAAGCTTTACCTCATGATACTAGTAAAACAACGCCAAGGCATTTAAAGATGGAAATTTAAATTACTTGGGGAAGGGGTAATCTACAGGCAGGCATTAAATGCTAAAATTATAGTACTACTATCATTCGGCTGCAGCAGCTGGGGAGGAATGAACAAGAACAAGCTGTTCCTCTTGAAACCTGCCGCACTGGCAGTACTGAACTCTACTAGATTTCGGCTAAATCCTACTAATCAAAAACCCTTTCTTTTCCACTCCACCCCGGCGCTCTCAAGCAGAAGAAGGCCATACTATTATTCTTCGGTCAGTCTCTCTCCTTCGTATTTCCTGTACAAAAGGAAAAGTAGAAAGAAAACGTACAAGTAGCGCGGTTGAATTCGTTAGTAGTATCGCATCCTACTGAATTATTTCTCTTGTTATAGATGGTGATTCCTTCATGATAAGTGTTAATACTAGTTTTTTCTTTCTTTCTTCGGGGAATTATATATTCTGAGCATGAAGCTGGGAGATTTATTTGATTCTTTAAACTAAGCAAGGGTTGGGCTGGGAGATGGGATGAGATGATGACAAGCCAACCCTGAATATACATGATTTTAAGACGTGAATACCAAAAATCAAAAAATATTGTAAGTTAACAATGCATAGACATGTAGAGCAAAAGAATCAAGTAATCTTTTTTTTTCCCGAGTTTTGAACTGTCTGGAAGTTAGTTGTGAATTTCACTAGATAAAGCGGTCAGAACAGACTCAAGAGTTTATCTAGTTGTTTATTGGCCTGTAACTTGTACTTATTTTGCAGGAAGGAGTTTATAGGGCGCCTAAAAGGGTGAGAGCTTCTTTCTTTACTCTATTCTGCTCAACCTTTCCTTGTTTTCCGATGTAACGTGTTTATTTTCCTTGTGCAGAGATACAAAAACTTCGTCAGAGGCTTCAGTAATCCTTTGTGGAAGCGAATTCTGCTGCGAGATCCCAGTGCACCTTCAAATGGCCCAGTTCAGGTTGTCTGAGTATGACTTACAGAAGTTGTCTTCACTATATTTTCTGTTTATTTGTATGATGGAAGGAATTACACGAAGCTTAAATGACTCATCTCTCTATTTAGGTGTATTGTGTGCGTCTTTGGACTTATTTCTTGGTGTTTGGGAAGGCTGTTGGTTTTGAATTTTGACATTAGGGATAGCCTGCTTGTTATGGCTTACATTTTTGGTACTTTTATTGCTTGAACTAAAGCAAATATCATCCAAGTCTTTGTTTCTTTACTGACAGAATGATTATTATTACTACACCCCATATTCAAGCCAAAGCAGCTCATGGTTTGGACAGGATTATCAAGCTACGAGATCCAATGCTTTTGGAGGAAGTAAGTGATTGTGATACTACTTCGGCCTATTGATTTGAGTCAAATCATGCACTACATTATCTGATATAACAGTTTGTGACACACAACTATACTATTACATTTACCTATGTAATATTGTTCAATTTTTCGCTTCAAATGTTCAATCTGGAACTAACCAAATGCTTAAGTGACGGTAATCTCTGTTTTTTATTTGGTAGAATTTGTATTGGTTAATCACAAAAGAGAATAATCTGTTGTTGATATGGATATGGAAAGGACTTAAGCTGAATGCAGATAATATAAAACGAGATATTAACTGGTTTTCTCTCCGACTCAGGTCCATGAATTAGGAATAAGAAAAGTTTAATTATGAATTTTACGATTTGAGGGGAGGTTCTTGAGCATCTCGGAAGCAGGACTCCTGTTCTGAGATAGTTGAGATGAACTATTCAATTTATCTGTTCAATGTGATTTGGCCCTTCTGCTGTACTGAAGTTTTGGACAACTTCACCAGGCAATTCTAATGACCATTGGAGCTCCTGGAACTGGAGAAATCACAATCAAGGTAAAGACGACCCCCCAAAAGAGTCTGATAATTCAACACCTGAAATGACCTCAGAAAGACTGGCCCTGGGTTTGAGTGCTTCTGGTCCTCTAACTCTGGAAGAAGTTAAAAATGCGTAAGTTGCTTGCAGTTGCTTCATAATCTCACAAATAAGAATCCTTCTGATCAGCTTCTCATACTTCATTTTCACCCAATACTGGGAGTTATTCTCCTATTATTTAATCCGACTCCTTTTCAGATACCATGCATGTGCAATGAAATGGCATCCGGATCATAACCAGGGCTTGTTTAAGGTAAGCCTTTTGGCATCTTTGCTTACATAATCTTTTCTCTTTTCCTTCTTTTTCATCATCTGACCTGTTGAGTTTGTTTCCTTGGTTTTCAATTTCATAGACGAGGGAAAGCTTTTGTACTCTTACATCCTAGTACTTTGGAACTTCAACTTTATTGATTCACTCGACCTTGTGAGACACTGACCCTTTCCCCTTTTCTTGGAGGGGAAAAGAGAAGGAAACCTGTAGCGTCGTTATCGTTAGGCAATTAACCTAATAGTATCATCGTTAAGCAGATCAAAGGACAAGCTTAATATTCATAGTATATCTGCAAGTTAAGCTTTGACATAAATCCTTTAACTAAAATGTGACAACTCTTACTGGCTAAGGATGAAAGGAAAGGGAGGCAAGAGAATTCTGAAACTATTTTTCACTAAAATGTGGAGGGCTCTAAACTCTTTAACACCAACCACTTCCCATCTTTAGGCTTCACTAGTTTCTTTTTTACTAGTTACATAAAATAGTCACTTCATGCATTGGCTTGAAGCACAGTATTGGGATTGCAATATCAGCCACACGTACCTTGACTAATCTAACATATATGTTAGCAGACGGTTGCGGAGGAAAAGTTCAAGTCCTGCAAAGCTGCATATGAATCTTTGTGCGACTATGTCAGCTCCAAATGAATGAGTTTGCCAAGAGTTTATAAGACAGATATCAAGAGAACAACCAATCTGTTTGCCTAATGGTATCATGCACCAAGGCTTTTTGGAGTAGATTTCGTACAATATGTTGTTGGAAGTTACATTTGTACTCCTGCTTCTGCAACATGCAATTCCATGGAAAAAAAAAATTCATTGCATTATAATCATGTTTTCCAAATCACCTTCTTTTTTTTCTTTTTCTTTTTTTTATTAACTACCCTTTTATCTTACATATATGACATACCAAAAAGTGCTGGAAAAAATCCAAATAATCTTCAATCCAAACAGAGCTGTGGCTATGATTTGGATACAATATCAATTTGTTGCTTAATTAATATCAAGTAAATTGGACATTTCTTAGCTGAATAATATGACTACTAAAACACTCCGTGAACAAAGGACCAAATGAAGCTGCTAAATGCAAATCATTTATTCTTAAACCCACGTATGTAGAAGTATTTTTTTAGCGCAAGTAAGAGTGTTCAATCTCTGAGTGCTCGAATTGGAAACTGAACCCTCCCACTTACATTTCTTTTCCTGAATCATTCAATCTATCTCTCCCCTCACATCTTTAAGAAATTTCAACGGATGTTAAAATTATCAATACAAGCATCTTAAATGTGTTAAACAAAAGCAAAAGAAAAAAAAAAAGTGAGAAATTGCTAATCTGATTGTTCAAAGCCTTTTATCTGGTGGGTCATATAACCTTCAGATCCAAACGCACACAGCCTTTATGGCCCAGGGACTTGGCTTTGTTTGAATTATTTTTCTAATTTTTTTTAGAAATATTACTGTAACGATTTGATATATATAGAGTAAAAATGTGATTTAAAAAGGAAAATTTATCAAATTGGTCCCTGACATTTACCAAAAATACTTTTTTAATCCCTAACATATAAAATTAGCCAAAATTATCCCTCACATTTAAATTGTGATCCAATTTGGTCCTAATGCTCGTTTTTGCTCATTTCTCTGGCTAAAAATAGCACGCCTCTCTTACGTGATCATATTTTTAGGGGTAAAATCGGAAAACACATTTCATTGCTGGTTGAAAGTAAAAGGATAGGGGACCACCACCCCATTTTCACCTTTCCCCCTCAAATTGCAGTTTCAAGAAACCCTAAATTGCATCCTTTAATTAACAAGCATAACTTGGAAATGTTAGTGATGATGATGACGACGACAAAGCTGTAGAGTGTGATGGCCTGCGTGCTTGGGGACATGGCATCTCGTCCTAATTTCGGCATTAATAAATTGAATTTCGTTTTCTCCACCCTCATCGTCCTTTCCATTTTCAATTTCCTGCTCATGTATCTCCTAGCACCCACCCACCGCGGGGGTTGGGGGCGCTCCTTCTTCTGGCTGCCTCCCCTCCATCTTTACCGCCTGTCCTCCCAGCCACGTGTTCGAGCCAGGAGCTTACGGCGTGTTCAGTCGGATAGGGACTTTTGTGTACAAAGGCGCCCTTTTTGCAGCCGTGGGCTTTGCCGCCGGACTCGTGGGAACTGCTATCTCCAATACCTTTATCAAGATGAGGAGGAAGATGGATCCCAATTTCCAGACCCCCAACAAGCCTCCTCCAACGCTTTTGAACGCTCTCACCTAGGCCGTCCACATGGGCGTCAGCATCAACTTCAGATACCAAGCCCTCAATGGCATCGAGTTTCTGCTTGCCAATGGCTTTCCCTCTTTCCACTTCAAAAAGCTCCGTCGTCGCTTTGAGGTGCTTAAACAATGTCCTTGGAGGGATGTCTTTTGTCGTACTGGCCAGGTTAACAAGATCACAGGCTGCTACTGCTGTTGCTGCTCCTTCTCCGTCTTCCGCTGCTGCTGAGCTAGAACAACAACAACTAGTCAAGGAGGAGGAGGTGGGTGTCCGGGAAGGTGATGCTGTAGCTGGAGATGCTTTGCCTGTTGACAAAGTCAAGTGGTCCCCTATCCTTTTATTTTCAACCGGTAATGAAATGTGCTTTCCGGTTTTGCCCTTAAAAATATAATCACGTGAGAGAGGCGTGCTATTTTTAGCCGAAGAAATAAGCAAAAACGAGCATTAGGACCAAATTGGATCACAATTTAAATGTGAGGGATAATTTTGGCTGATTTTATATGTTAGGGACTAAAAAAGTGTTTTTGATAAATATTAGGGATCAATTTGACAAATTTTCCATTTAAAAATATGTTTGCCGAAAAAAGTATCAAATTTTCTTTAAGAAATTGCTTCAAATGTGCTAATCTGATTTTTCTTTAAAATTTTTTTTCCAAACAAAGCCGGGCCACTTTTCGCTTCTCATGTCTATCCAATCACTCCGGGTTTTTTCTTTAATTTTCTTGCCGAATTACCATTGTTAATATATATGCTAAATATAGTGCATAATGACTATCCCAAAAAGGGTCCTAGTCTAGTACAGTAATACGCTCCTACTAGCTAATAATGCTAAAAGCCGTACCGATTCTTGGTTCATGTTCTTCAGCTTCATCGTCTGGGTTGGTGGCTTCTCTCTCCCAGAGATTGAAATTGAAGAAGAAGAAGAAGGCAATCCTCCTCCATCCCAGTTGTGCTTGTGGGTTTTCTTTGATTTCAAGAACATCCATAGCCCCCAAAACAATCTCATTATCATCAAGAAAATCAACCTCCCCATTTCTTCTTCCAGCTCACAAGTACAATCAAAAGGGCTATTTCTGCAATTTCAGAGTTTCTGGGATGTCTCTTGCTCATAATGAATCCCCGCCCGATGGCCCTTCGTCATCATCGCCATCATCAGTTACAATTCACTCTTCAACTGTGAGATTCCCCTTTGTCTTTTTCTCTTTTGTCTTTTTCTTTCTTGCATTTAATTTGCATTGCCGCGTTCTGGTTTTCTTGGATGTTTGACAACATCAATTTTACTGGATTTTGTGGAGTTTCTTGGCTGTTTTGTCGGTTTGTGCATTGTTGAATGCGACATTTTCTTCAGATGATTGAAGTAGTTGCCACGTCTTTGTTTTGGGTGGACATTGTTTGATAATATGCAGGTCTTGTTATTTGAGGACCTTATCTTCAAATTGAATATTTTTTGCTTATTAGATTTTTGGGTTTAGTAAATGTAGAGTGGGTATGTCTCTTATGGTGTTGTTATCTTGATACGTTTTATTTTTCACTACTTTGATTGTTCCACTCTTATGATATCTACCGAATAAGCCTTAATGTCGGTAATCATGATTCTCAATTAAGGACAAAAAGGCGTTCAAGTTATGAAAAACTGGTACTTTAGTTTGGGATTTTATACCTTCAGACTCTACCATGGTCACATCAATTAAATCTTTGTCTGCAACATTGACATTATCACAATTGTATTGATTTGTAATGAAGAGATAGCAGTTTCAATTTGGTGAGGTTCCATATTCATGGATCTCATCTGATATGGTCCTTAAGAGCAATCAATAACGATATCTCTAGCAGGACATTTGCTGGAAATTAAAGAAAAGGAGATACATTAAGGAAACTAATCTGAATATTGGAGTCTATTGTCACTATTTGTTTCTTAGTTGATATCTTCTGTGGCAGTAAGTAGATCTGAAAAAGGGCTGTAAATTGGTGATGCAATAGGTATATCTATTTCTCCCCAGTTCAAAATCAGTGGGTAGTAAAGAGCAACCATTGGCATATGTCCTACATGTGGATATTGAACATGTGGTAGTGAAGCTAATAAAATGTAAATTTTAGAACTAGCTACCTTCAGATTTGGTGCATATGACTGGAGGTTTATGGAACATATTTCATTGTCATGGTGAGAGTGCTACTTGTACTACTCTATTTTCCATCTTCCATCCTATCTTGAATGTTTGTTTGCGCAAATCTCAATATTGCCATGTGCAGGGCAGCACCCGCAAGATCAATTTCTGTCAATCATGTGGTGGCCCAACAAAACATGAGATACCAAATGGAGAGGAGAAGATGAGGGAAGTTTGCACTGTTTGTGGAAAGATTGCATACGTGAACCCAAAAATGGTAAAACTTAACTACTTTTGAGTTTAAATAAATACTACAGGCAGAAGATTCTAGAGTTCTTAACTTGATTTCAAGTTAGTTAACTAGGCTTCAGCATCTTTTATAACAACTGTATTAGTTTACAAATATGTAATATAGAAATATTATCCTGGTAATTTTCTATAGAGAGCAAGCTATGCAGGGAGTCAATACTTAAGTACTTAGTTAAAGTACTTAAGGTGTACAAAGTGAGCTTAGTACCGAAGACTTAAAGTTCTGATTTGATTAGGAGAATTTGAGTTGATTCGTTTTGATATATGTTAGTGACAGAATTTGAGTTGATTCGTTTTGATATATGGTAGTGGCAATTACAGGGTACTTGTTTCTTGCTAGATTTCCTGCTCCCTTGCTCCAAAAAGGAAAGGAAAAAAGGCTCAACCTTTTCATCGTTCAGTGTCTTTCCATTGTTGGAATTTGCATGCATTTGGCAATAGGACCAGATGCATAGAGAAAACAGAATCTAGTAGGATAAAGCATTAGGTTTTATTAAGTTGCGTGTTCTGCTCAACCTGATAGTTCTGGCAAGAACTGCCAACTGTAAACTTTGGTGATGATTCATTAATGAAAATAGATCGTCTTCTAGTAAGAACTATTTCATGATTTTTTTTACCTAGCAAATGCAGAATTAAATCTTACATACTCTCTGGATGATAAGATCTGATCAGATTGACAGTTTTCTGATACCCAAAAAAAAAAATCTACGTGTTAATTCGCCATGGTTTGCCTTTGTTCCTCTTTCTTTTTGGTAATTTTTAGCAGGATCTCTTGAATGAATTGCTTCCAAATCCATGCCACATTTTAATTGAAAAGGAATTTTCTGCTTTCTTGGAAAACTAGTGTTGGTCTAGGACAAAATAAAATTGGAAAACTTGTTAAATATCTCTATTGGATACATTGAGAGAATGGTATTCTGTACTATTTGTGGGCTTGAATGATTCTTCTGACCAATCACAAGATAAGCAGTAGATGGTTCTAAATGTTGTAAATGAAAGAAATATGATGTTTACATTGATGTTAGCTGAGTCTTTTGATGTGTAGGACTATGCAATATGAACATTATTGTTCATGATCTATCCTGGTTTTCTAATTGACTGTTTAGACATAAAGCTAGAACTTTCTCCTAGGTTTTGGTTTTTTTTTTTTTGTTTTGGTTATTTTCATTGACTACTTTCTCACTGCTAAATGTTAGGTCGTAGGTTGTTTGATTGAGCATGAAGATAAGATACTGCTATGCAGGCGAAAGATCCAACCATCATATGGCCTTTGGTTTGTACTTAGATCAGAGCTAGTTCATCATGAACTTTTTTGTATTAAAATAGTTCTTTAACTTATTGGTCTCACAAGTTTAATCGCTGAGTATTTTGATGTTAAGTTGATTTTGGTTTTCTTTCCTATAGGACGCTTCCTGCTGGTTACATGGAGATGGGCGAATCTGCTGCTGATGGTGCAACTAGGGAAACATGGGAAGAGGCAAATGCAGAAGTGGATATTTTGTCCCCCTTTGCACAATTGGATATACCTCTTATAGGTCAGGTGAGAAAAAAATCTCTGTTAAAGCTGTATTTGTATGTACTTGCCACAGCAATTATAGCTGTATTTTTATCTACTGTCATAGTAATTATTGCCTCTTCTTTGAAACAGACATACATCATTTTTCTAGCTAAGCTGAGGAGGCCCCACTTTTCACCAGGTCAAGAATCATCAGAGTGCAGGCTCTTTGCACTAGATGATATTCCATTTGATTCCTTGGCATTTTCATCGATGTTGGTTACCTTAAAACTGGTATGATCTGGATCCAAAACTAAGAATTTCATTTTCCAAATACTTGTTTCAATCTGCAGTTGTCTCAATTTCTTACTTTTTGTTAATGTAGTACATTGAAGATCGACAGGTTGGAAGGCCCAAGTTTCACTATGGCATTATAAACAAAAGGTATTCTTCATTTTTCTTAATTTGCTTTCTTCATTTTCTGGTGTTTCTGCTGTCACTTTGTTGTAAGCTTGAGAAACAGAAAAGGATAGGACATCATCGCCATCAAACTCCTGGTACTATGAAAGTTCTTTGTATGTGGCTCCTGTATCTCATCTGTTTTGTCAAAGAAAAGCAAGAAGACAATCATCATCAACTGTTAAAAAGAGAAAACTTCTCGTTGCTTTGATTTGGTTTCTTATAAATTATCTAACCAGGAAACATCCCAAACCCAATCTTTAGCGTAAATCAACCAGCTCAGTTCCACATTTGACAATGTCCACTGTCCTAGTGTGGTTGAGAAGTATGTAAAAGGCTGTTAGGTTCAATGGCATTTTAGAAGGGACCTCCAGGGGGGGAGCTTATTTGTTGTTGTCATTCTATAATTGATAATTACCTTGTCTTCTTATTTGAGAGGGCATCAAAGCGATTGATTTCAGAATTCTGTTCTTCCTTCAGCAACTTAACTCGTGTTTGAGTGGTGATGGCAAGAGAGAGGCAAATTATTGTGCTCGCATAGAGAAAAAGGCTCACTTAACAGTGAAATCCTGTGGATTTTTAGTGCTCTCTTTCTTTTGCTTTGTCTTCATGCCTTGTCTTGATTCCAGATAGTACAAAACCATGTTGTGAAGTTCATCGCAAGGCAGTTGCTAAGATGGTCTAGTAGTTGAATTGGTTAGCATTGTGGCTAATTCACTCCAACTGTTTTATCAGGTATATTTTTTCAAATAACTCAAGAGCTTTAACATTCTTTCTCTCCTGTTGATTGTTGACAGGCCTGGGACCAGCCCTTCTGAAATTTATGCTTACACGCTTGATGATCACATGAAATCCTAATTGTGTGTAACTTTTGTTGATGAGTCTGCACAGATCCAACTGAGATTCATTGCTGCAGCAACCACTGCTGTTGTACAGATTTTGATGCGCCTCTGTTTTAACTTGTAAATGATGAGCAAGTAAAGCTTATCCGAGAATTTCCTGTATTTTATGCAATTCAAAAGTAAAATCACTGTCATTTGATTCCCTCTAGTGCGGGTGTATTCCTAGTCTCGGACAGCATGCTGAAGGGAACATCTATTAGGAATATCAACTCAAAACAAGGTCCTTCCGCATTTTCTGTGGAGTTCAGGATTTACAAAATACAACTACTTCTGTTGCAAATGTCCTGTTTCCATCTTCTCCTATTCAGATAATCTTGTCATGCCTATGTGATTTTCTGCTAAGACCTTCATTCTTATGCCTTGATATAATCATATAGCAAAACTTTATTGACATAAAATCTGAAGGGCAGGATATCTATCCCTACTTAAGAGGCCAGAAAAAGGGTTATGCATATTCAAGTAAATGAGGGGTGAAAAGGTGACGGTGCATTGAAGCAGCATCAAAACTGCCAGTTTGCAGTCCAAAGTCCGATGAGAATCAGAACTGCCCTTTATGTGACTACGCACTTAAGTTTGAGTTCATAATTTAGCAATGGTGTAGCTTGATAGTAGAAGGTTCTGCTGTCTACGAGGTGTCTTGGATCCGCAGGCTGTAAGTAGTATAAACAAATGCATCACAAATCTTGAAAAGCCATCTGAAAATGTACTACCATTTCGAACAAACTAGCTGGTCAACTGCTTACTCGTAAAACGTTTTATCAGGATCGAATATTATAGCTAACTGGTTACAAACAAATAATCAAATCTTTCTTTCATGTATCAGTGCTACGGTACTGATGTGGTACTTCATTTATCTCCCACTTGAGCAAATTTAACAATAAATTAAGAGTTCATTGTACGTAAACCCATGATTTGTTGTCACTGAGAAGTTGGTACCTGCAGGCTGCAGATACAGTAAAATTTCCTTTTGTTTTTAGGGTTAGATCGAAGGATGTAACTAAATTCAGGAAAGTCCAGTCTTGTGGTCTCAAAAAAATTTACAATAGGATGCGTGAGCTAAAGTTAATCTATTATGTCAAGAAAATTAAACGCTCAACAAATGCAGAAATATATTATACTCTTAATCGATGAAGTTTAAAGTTCAATACTCACACAACACAGCTCCCACATTCTACAAGCAATAGAATGGAGGATGTTATTTATCTTACATTATAACTCCTGCTAGCTAAAAGAAAATAGAAATAAAAAACAAGAACAAGATGTGCATCTTTACAAGCTGCTTGGGTCACACTAGTCCGAAGGACAAATTAGATCCAAGTAGTTTCTGCTGCGTAATCTGATCAACAGTTTGGATCATCTCTTGTGTAAGATGATTCTTCCAATCATCACCTGTTCCCTTTCTGAAGTATGCACTGTTTGGGATCTCGACCGAAGCAGAAAGCCGGTGCTTACCATTCTTGTTAACATCTACACTACTCAAGTTGTCAAAGCTAAACATATCAGCGATCTTTTGAGGTACACCATGCTCCTCTTCCTCCGCGGAAAATGGTCTTCCCATGAACTCAGCCATTTTTCTGATGTGAAGCAAGATATCCTTCTTCAGACCTTCGTATTTCAGGAACAAGACTGCATCTGGCCTTTCAAGACTTGCTTTCCAGTACCCCAAAACATGATCCCAATACGGCCCCCCTGGACATTTACCCTCACAAAACTGCTGAAACGAGTCTTGGAGCCGGTGCTGTTGGATTAATGTTGCTTCGGAGTCATTGTTCATCCTCATCTTGTTTGAGAAGTGAGCATAAGAAGTAAGAGTAGCCTTCGGTTCCCTGCATATGTATATGATTTTCGAGCCCGATTTCTGTATGGATTCTGGCAGTGAAGTATAGGGCATGTGTGTTGAGAAGAGCGGGAGAAGGTTATGATCGAGGTCCCCGTTCTTCGGGTTTTCAGCAAGATCAACTTGCAGAAATGGCACGAGAAGATGGGGGAGCTTGCTTAGCAAAGGGTTGGATTTTTCGTGGGTGATGGTCCTTGTTTGAATGGCAAAACACAAGGCCTTTAGCCAGGTGGTTCCTGTTTTGGGAGCACTGCACAAGAAAATATCAGTTGTTTGAGCTTGGAAATTTTGTTGAAGTGCAATGACTCCTTCTAACGGGGGTAAAGGATACCAAAATCCTTGGTACTGATACAAATATCCAGAGATGCCAGGCCAGTACTCTTTTGGAAGTTTGTTGCTGTGCCCATGTCCAAGGATTCTTTTGAATGAGAATGAGCAGCAGTTAAAGAAATGCTGCTCATTGCTAAGGGACTGGAGGACTCCGGAATTTAGGATGGGATGGGAGATAGATGAACACCGATTTAGTGTTTTTTGTGGGCTATGGCAAGTGATTATAACTAGGTATTTATATTGGAGGTTTGATGGTTGTCGGTGCAAAAGCAATACTATGGACCAATTAATGTGATTGATGGTTATACTAATAACGATATGATATTCTTGTAATTAAAAAAAAAATGATGTGATATTGGCTTATAGTAATAATTATAGTTTTCTAACAAGCTGATAAAGGTAATTCTTGGCTGAATAGATAATTAATTATTGTATTTGTGTTGGTTGCAGTAACGTGTCATATCTTTTGCAATATTCTTTTATTTGTGTTGGACCAGTTTTTGTGGGCATCAATTTATTGCTTTTGGTGGGCTATGCCAATTGATCATAACTAGGTATTATTTATATTGGAGGTTAGGTGGTTGTAGATGCAAAAGCAATAATAATATTATAGATAGTAGATCTATGGACCAAATAATAATGTGATAGTAGTTTTTTTTTTTTTTGGGATAAGGGAGGAGTAAGATTTAAGAAGAGGGAGGGTAATTTGATCCTAGAACCTTTATGTTGTGGAGCTCAACTAATGTCATAGTTAATTGTATCTAAAGAAAATAATAATAATGATGTGATAGGGGTCTGTATTAATTAGTATTTTTTTTCTACTAGGTTGATAAAGGTTATTCTTGGCTAAATAGATATTTAATTAGTTGTATTTGTGTTGGTTAATGTGTCATATCTTTTGCAATATTCTTTTATTGTATTGCCTGATTCTAATTCAGCCGAGTCACCGAGAAATTGGTCAAGAAGTCACTGATACGGATAGTCTCGGCCAAGTCATCTCGAATCAACTCGCAAATTTACATTTTATAGATTTTTTTTTTGCTAAGTTTTTTAATTTTTGTTTAGAATATTTTTGAATATTATTCATAATTTTTAAAATATTAAATATTTTAAAATTTGCGTCTCGTGGAAACCGTAACCGATATATCGAGACCGATATGAAACGGTCCGGGTCACGACTGCAACTTTGAACCATGCTGTCAACTAGTATCCTCTGGTTCGGGAGTATTTCTGGTCTTGGAGAGTATGCTGAAGGGAACATTTACCAGGACTATCAACTCAAAACAAGATCCTTATTATTTTTTGAAAGATCTTCCTCTTTTGCTGCAGAGTATACGATTCACAACTACTTGGGTTCGTACTCAGATGACGATGTGTTACATTTGTCAGTTTTGATGTTGCAAAGGGCATGTAGCCCATTTGACGTCCAGAAAATGATTTTCCAGCTGATGTGGTCACTAGTGCTTCGCTGAGTGTACAGGAAGCACAAAATGGCACGTGAATTAATGAGGAGGATATTGAACAAAATGAAGGGGAAAGAGGTGGAGCATTTGAGGTAGGATCAATATTGCCATTTTGCCGTCTAAATTTTGATCAGAATCATAACAGCCCTTTATTTTCCCTGCGACTACATGCTTAAGAGTTTCACAAACTACTCCAGTATTAGTAGCTAGCTTGATGGTGGAAGATTCCACGCATTCAAGATTCTGCTGCACAAGGGATTGAAACACAACAGTTTGAAAATATATATATATAGATACTTGTCTCCTCAGTAACGTCTTTTACCATACAAGATAAGGTATTGGTGATCGGGGGGAGATCTGATCATCAACGAAAAATATTAGATGCATGTGAAAGTGCAGATATGGATGAAGGATCCCACAAGATTGAATAGTCATATTGATCTTTCACCTGCTAATATTTTACAGATCAAAAAATTTATGATTGAGACATGAACCCAAAATCTTGATCCCAGAAGTACTCGCGCTGTCACAAAATAGGGGTCCAGCACCATACCTCAACACTATCCTTCCTCCAGCCGGCATATCAATTGTCAAGGCCTTGAATTGGTGTCTCCATAACGACAAGAACATCTCCTGCGACCACAGGATTTTTTGAGGATAATTATATATCCATCACTTGCATATCTTGAAAAGTAATGTGAAAGGGTTCTACCACCGTTCACACTAGGTGGCGTTAGGAAAATGTAGGGGGGATTCGGTACTCAGGCAACTACTGTTCATCGCTTGTAAGTTAACATGTGTGATTGCGATTCAATATATATATTACTACAACTAAGCTGGTTCCGATCCGAACAAATAATTGAACCTTTCTTTCCTGTGCTAATCCCACAGTACTGATGTACGTAATTCACTTGTATATCCAAGCATCCAACCACAACTGGAAGATGCCAATTTCCAAGCAAGAAAATGTCAAATTGTAGAGCAATTAGTTTCGAGGAACAATTTTTTTCTTGTTTTAAAGCTTGCACTGAGTACAAAGTGAACTATTTTTGAAATAGTTTTCATTTCATAAACTAATCATACATCAAAGTCTTAGCAACTAAAATTTGAACTTTTCCCCTGCCTGGTAGATCAGGGTTCGAACTTGGCTGTCAGATTTGGGGATAGAAAGGGATTAGTGGAGAGGGGGAAGGTAAAAATAAAATAAAATTAGAACTTTAGAAAAATTTTGGATTTATTCTTTGATCTTGACATGACTAAATGCAAGAAATTGGTAGTAAATGCTAGTGTGTTACTTTGGATAATGAGTTATGTCTATTAAAAATTGCCACATGACACCAATAGAAAAATTCAACTAGGAGGCTAAATTGAAATTGTTGGACTAATAAGCAAATATTCATTGCATCAAATTATCCAGCAAATCGGAATAATCATATACAACTCACAAAATGAAATAAAAATATCCAGAATATATCCCTCCACAAAGACGAGGACAACATCATGTGAACCAACTACGAACAGGGAATTTAATGGTCTAGAAAGTTAACACAAAAATAATTTACAAACGTTAATAGCCAGATATATATATAAGGGATTTTCATAAATATATGTACATATACACGTAATACAAGTACACATATGCATAGAAGAAATCGTCTACAGATAGTCCGACCCATGCGAACACATATGTTTATTTGACATGTATTAGAATAGTATATATTGGATTTGGATGGATACCAAGACTAATTAGGTCATTATACACAAAGAACAAATAAAATTTCCAAGTGTGTTTTGCTCACTGTTATGTGCATATATGTATAATTATTGAAACATACGAAACTATAAGATATATTGATATGATTAGATTTCTTAACAAAATGTATTAGAAATAGTATATAGTTTACAAGTTACATCAGTGTATTGGATATATTACATGTACAAACTCTCAACAATTACAAATAGAAGTAGCACCTGTTGAAGTAAAACTTGACTATACATTTGTTGTCGCCTACCAATCACTCTCAAAGATTTCAATGTGAAAGGAATCAAGGATTCGTTTTAGGAGCGACTCTATGGTACCCCAATAATGGGGACTAAAAATTCAAAGCAATTGGTGCACGTTACATGGGGTTTGCCTCCTATAAATATGATGCTAGTTAACTCCTCCTGTTCATTAGTATTATCTTATTTTAATTGATTGTTTGAGGAGAGTAAACTTTGCAGTTATGGGCTCACAATCACAAGCCAACCTCCCAATCGTATACTTCACCCGGGAAGCTCTGAAGCCAGGCACGGGTTCTTGGCTGTCAACTTGCAAGAAAGTGCGAGATGCACTTGAGAAGCACAGCTGTTTCTTGGTTCAGTATGAAAGAATTCCTTCAGAGCTGATCAGTGCAATTTTCCTGCAATTAGGAGAGTTATTTGATCTTCCCACAGAGACCAAAGTCCAAAATATTACCACAACTGATGGCTTGTTCGGCTACTTTGGGCAACAGCCGACAAATCCTACTTACGAAGGCATGGGAATTGAAGACGTAAATAATCCAGAAGCAGTGCTCAAGTTCACAAATCTCATGTGGCCCTCAGGAAATGATAGTTTCTGGTACATTTGAATGTCTTGTTTCCTGATTAAACTTTTGGCAAATTTGGTTCTTTAAGTTCTGAGTTGAGTTGTGTTTTGTGGTACTTTGCTTATCAGTGAATTGATGGAGTCCTACAAAAACCACGTTTCGGACCTTGAAAAATTGGTGATGAGAACGATTTTTGAAAGCTTTGGTGTAGAGAAGTTGTACAGCTCTCATGATGAATCGTGCAATCGCATGCTTCGATTCAATAAACACAGGCCACCACAGATGAGTGAGAATCTTGGTGGTGTTCCTGAACACACAGATCCAACTTTTGTGACAATAATTCAACGAAATCAATATTCAAGTTTAGAGGTGAAGTCAAAGGAAGATGGAAGCTGGATTGCTGTTGATTTTCCTCCATCATCATTTCTTGTCATGGCTGGTGACTGCTTGGTGGTAGGTTCTCCTTTCCCTGTCTGTACTTTGTTACTAAATAAAGATTAAGAAATGCCCATCATTCACAAGGCTTTCTTTTTTTAGTTGGTTGGAGCTTGGGAGGTTTGGTATTCGGTTTCGGTGGGGATGTTACGTCCGCATCGCCATCCCCATCGAAGGATGATAATTGATAGCTCCCCATCCCCATTAATGTGCGCATATAATTGGAGTAGTTGTCAACTTCAGAAATATAAGCCATGCATGCTTTTTTAAAATGGTAAATTGCGCCACGCACCCCTCAAATATCATTAATTTTGCAGTTTGAACTTTAATTTAGCGCTTTAGTATCTTATACCATTAATTTATGGCACATTATTCAAATTAGTTGAACATTAATTAAATTTTCTTGGTATATTTTTGTGAAAAAGAACTAATATGCATCTGTTTACTGAGTTATTCTTTATTGTTCAAGAGGTACTAACGTTCTATCATTCAAAATTCACATTTTTTTTTGGTTTCAATCAATTTGAATAATAATGTGCTATAAATTAATAGTATCAAATAATTGAGTGTTAAAATTGATATAGCTTAGGGTGCAAAATGCAAATTGGTGATAGTTATAAGTGGAAATTCCAATTAATCCTTTCGAAAAAGCAAAACATATATATTATTGTCTCTCTGTCTCTCCCTTTTTCTTTTCTTACTTGGCTTTCGTTATCCTTCCTAAACTTCGAAACCAAAAAACTACTTGCCAATTATTGAGGGCTCAAAAGTGCAAATTAGAATTGACCCTTTAGAAAACATAAAATACTAACTTGTTTTCTTTCCTATTCCCATTGCTTTTCTATTGTTTTCCTTCCTAAACTTTGGTATGGTTCCATTGGGAATAAACTACGGCAAAAGAGCATCACATCACATTGATTAGAGCATCATATTTGATTTTCCAAGACTAGAAGCGTGAACATATATGTAAACATATTCTTCTTGGCTTAGGCATGGAGCAATGGTAGGGTGCATTCGACTGTGCACCGCATCAGAATGAGGCCAGGGGAAACAAGATTCTCGACTGCACTATTCTCGTACCACAGTGGGATGGTTCATGTTCCAGAAGAGCTAGTGGACGATGAGCATCCATTGCAGTTTAAACCATTTGATCAGATGGGATTTTTTCGTTTTACTTTCGCTTACTACCCTCTGAGTGATGAGAGTAAAATTAAAGCTTATTGTGGTATTTAGGACTTCCTTTGTTTGCTTTACTTTTGGATGTGAACTTTTAGTGCATACTCATGTTCAGTTTCCTCCGTGAATGAAGTAGTGTTCCATTCCTTTCTAGCATCTTGAGTTTGTTCTCTTGCAAACTGATATTTCAAGCTTTCCTACATTCTGACCTTAAACCTTCAAAATGACATACTGAAAACTGAAGGGCTAGGTAATATAATTCTTATAGCCCTTATTCCCCAACCAATGTTTGATTGAAGACAAATTTGGTTGCGTAGGTCATCACAAAATCCAATATAGTACCATGTACCATGACAATCAACACAAATTCCCTGATTACTAATGGTACAAACTCCAGCGAAAAAGGAGTCAAAATTAATGCCAAGTACCCCAAAAAAAGAATAACTTTCCTTACACTATCCGTGTATATACTGGCGGAATTGGATAAATATCATACCATCTGAATTTGATCTAAATATGGTAGGAGTAAATGTAGTACTAATTATCCACCAAAAGAAAATGCAAAGAATTTCATCTAATATGGTAGGAGTAAATATAGTGCTAATTAAACACGTACATATCTTATTTTTACTAGCTTGATCAAACTCTTAACGTCTCGACATTAATCAAGTAACTATGTAAATCTCTATTCAACTCTCACAATTTTCCTTCTCCCCTTAATTTCCCTTGTAAGCATAAAATTTCTTTTCAGTAATCAACAACAATAATAATAACAAAATCCTCAACATGTATCAATCCCCCATCATTTCAAAAGTAGCTATGTTTTGAATTATTTTTTGTAAAAATTATCATGTGAATGTTTGGATAGTAAATTATTTACACTGATTTATCAAAATGCATGATAAACATATTTTTCAATCACCCTTTATATCATATACATCACATAAAAAATGTGTTAGAATATTTTCTTCATAGAATTATCCCAACTAAATCTCCTATCTAAATACAAGTATCCTGTCAAGTGTTAATGAGGGTTAGCTTGACCATAAAAGCGATGAGCAAAGCACGAGTTTAGCATGGTCTTAAACTGCGCTTTTTTGGTTGCAGTAAAGGAGGCACAGAGTTTCCATTTCATAACTGTAGCATCGAAGGACAGAAGCGGGATGCTGGTGACACGTGTTTAAACTTCCCACGCCTTTTGAGGATTCTTACTTGTTAGTTGTCTTGTCCAATTATCCGCGACTCTGCTCGTCCTGCCCGGTCCTCGCCTTCCAGCTGCGGCACTAAACTCTGCGACAGACGCACAAGCGCCTCCCATTACATCTGCTCTTTCTTTCCCCAATGGCTTTCCCTTTTTCAATTCAAAACCTTCCATTTTCTTCAGCTCTCCCTCGGCGCAACACGACGGCGTACCCTTCTTCCCTTTTAACTCTGCCCAGTAACCGTAGT